GGACACTTGCTTACTATGGATCTTCTTCCACAGGGTTACAGGGGATAATGGTTTAAGAGTTCACCCCTGTTTCCCTATGGAGGTCCCTCCCCATGGGAGAACAGTCCTTGATTGACTTCTCGGCATGGGTCTAGTCTGGATCCCTTACTCAGATCCCAATATCCCACCTGAGCCATTTTCTGCTCCAGCATAGGTTCTCTCTAGCACCAGCAGCATGGATCCCACACATGGATCCCAACATCCCTACCTGAACCGTTTTGTGTTCCAGCGTAGGTTCTAATACCCGTCAGGGTCATAAATCTTCAACAGCAGCAGCATGGATCTCTCACTGAGATCCCAAGCTTATCTGAGCCGTCTCGCTCCAGCATAAGCATCATCCCTTCGAGGGTCACAAAGTCTTTAACAGGACTCTGCCTCATCTGAGCCGCTTTTACTCCAGCATAAGGCTTTCTCTGTTAAAGTCACAAATCTCTGGTGCATCCACAAGCTCCTCTGTGAGCCGCACGGGGGTCTCTTCACCCCAACAAACTTCTACAGGTGGCAGGGATTTTATTTTTCAGTCTTTACCCTGCTGAAGGGAGGGAGAGCGAAAAGGAGAAAAAGCAGTTCTCCCCCCTTCGAACTTTTCTTCTCTCTTCTGCGACTGCAGCTTTGACCTTGAAAATCCTGTTATCTCATGGCTGGAATTCTTCTACAGTGGTTTCTCGTCTAAGCAGTTCGTCTTTTAAACCTTTTTTTTCTTTACTCTCTCACAAGAGAGAAGGGAGGCTTCAGTACTACACCTGCCCCCCGCCGGCCCAAGCCGGGGGAGGAGGGGGCTTTGGCCCTCCTCGGGCCCGCTACCCTTCTACATGGCTGCTGCTCTTAATTTCAACTGCGCCACCACCTTCTCTTCCGTTTTCTTAAAGATGTAATTAGCAAAGGTGTCACTGAACTTTTTGATTGGTTTTTTGTCCGGAAATCACCTGGACAAAACCATCCTCAGCCCCAGGGATGGGCTGGTGGGCAAAACCACGACACCTATGCAGGATGCACTGCCCAAGTGTTTCTTTTTATGTTTCTCATTTCAGTAGAGTTTTCCCTCCTGACCATCATGTGCTACGACCGCTACGTTGCCATCTGCAAACCCCTGCACTACGGGACCCTCCTGGGCAGCAGAGCTTGTGCCCACATGGCAGCAGCTGCCTGGGCCTCTGGGTTTCTCAATGCTCTGCTGCACACAGCCAATACATTTTCCCTGCCCCTGTGCCAGGGCAATGCCCTGGGCCAGTTCTTCTGTGAAATCCCTCAGATCCTCAAGCTCTCCTGCTCACACTCAGGCTACCTCAGGGAAGTTGGGCTTCTTATAATAAGCTGTTCTTTAGGTTTTGGTTGTTTCATTTTCATGGTTTTCTCCTATGTGCAGATCTTCAGGACTGTGCTCAGAATCCCTTCTAAGCAGGGACAGCACAAAGCCTTTTCCACGTGCCTCCCTCACCTGGCCGTGGTCTCCCTGTTCCTCAGCACTGGCATTTTTGGCTACCTGAAGCCACCCTCCATCTACTCTCTATCCCTTGATCTGTCTTTGTCAGTTCTGTACTCAGTGGTGCCTCCAGCCCTGAACCCCCTCATCTACAGCCTGAGGAACCAGGAGCTCAAGGGTGCCATAAGGAAAATGATGACTGGATGTTTTTCAGGAGAAAAATAATGCATCTTTTCTTTTGTAGAACACTCATTGTGTAACACAGTTTGGGCCCAGTCTGCCTTTTAAAAGTTTTATATTGTGTGTGTGTGTGGATGTTTCCTGTTATTTCCCTCTGTTCACGTCAGTAAACCTGAAATTTTTTACTTCATCTCATATATAATTCACTCTTTTCCTCTTCTTTTTGACCCACAAAATGTACTGATCAGGAATCCTGTTCTATGTGCATTTAAACTAAATAAAAATTTGTGCAGCAAGGTATTTGTCAAACATCCTCCCTGTGATAGTTTGTACATGAGGAATCACAATCTCTGAGTGTAAGAAAGAAATAGACTCTGCAAAGTCTTTTTGCTGTGCTTGTTTCTCCATGCAGACAGTGCAGGGAGGGCAGGGACCTACTGGGACTGCAGGGACTGAGGGCTGGCTCAGATGTTGTGTGTTGGTGGCCGATGGGCAATGGAGATGACAAAGGATCTCCAGGTCACCTGCCTGGGGCTCTGCAGCTTGTGCTGGCTCTGATGGCAGGGGAGGATTTGTGTGTAGGAAATGAGGAAGTGCAGGAGAGCACAGAGGATCTGCAGGGACAGCCCGTCCCATCCAGTCAGCAGTGACTGGAGCCCTGGAGCAGAATCCTGCCCAGGGTGGAGTCACCCAGACAGAAAGTACTAAATCTTGCTGGGAAGTGGCAAAGAGAGCTCTGCAACCCCAGGGGACACAGCAGGTACAGGGAAAACTCTTGCAAGGGACTTTTCTTCCCCTCAGTGAACTTGCACAGGTCAATAAAGAGCAGCCCCCAAGCCATGTCCCAGCTCTGGAACAAGGCAGGGCCCCTCTGAGCACCCTCCATGGCCACACAGGAGCATCTGTGGGAGGTGCTCAGTGGCAGGGAGCACCATCAGCTGGCTCTGCCTCCCAGCTTGAGCAGCACAGCCCCACAGAGTCCCCCATGGCCCCGGGCCCCACAGCCCCCTGCTCTGCAGAGCAGCCCCCAGCTCGGGGGCTGTGGGGAGCACAGGCAGGGGCTGCAGGAAGGGCTGCTCAGGCCAGCACAGATGTGTTCCCCTGGGGAAAGGCTCTGTGGGGAGATGGGATGTGCCAGGAGAAGAGCAGGACAGGGTGAGCAGAGGGGCCATGCAAAGAGGCTGTTCTGGCCCTGGGGGGAGGAGGGCCCAACCCAAAATCTGGGAAACTCTCTGGTCTGAGCTAAGTTGTGCTCCCAAGAACATGCTGACTCCAGAGGGGTCCAAGTGGGGCAGAACCTGCGACTCCAGTCTGTGCGGTGCAGAGGTGGGGGGGAAGCAGCAGCTCTGCTTGATTCCATGGAGTACTGGGCAGGTACAGTGGTCCCTTGGTTCCAGGAGGCTCTGAAATGTCTCAGGGTTCCTTGGGTTCCATGAGGCCCTGCAGTGTCACAGTGGCCCCTTGGTTTCATGAGGTTCCACAATTTCCCTTCGTTCTTTTGGATCCATAAGGCCCTGTAGTGTCAAAACTGCCCCTTGATTCCATGAAGTCCCACAGTGTCCCTGCATTCCTTTTCTTCCATGAGGTTCCCCAGTGTCACAATGACCTCTTGATCTCACGACGTTCCACTGTGGCTCAGGGTGAGGCCCTGCGGTGCCACAATGGCCTCCTGGTTCCAGGTGTTTCTGCAGTGTCACCATGGCTCCTTTATTTCAGGAGGTTGCCCACTGTCCCTAGGTTCCTTTGGCTCCAGGAGGCCCTGCAGTGTCACAGTGGCCTCTTGATTCCATGGGTTTCCCCAGGGTCACAATGGCCCCGTAATTCCAGGAGGTTCTGCAGTTCCACAGGGGCTCCTTGGTTCCATGAGGTTGCACAGCATCAGCACAAAGCTGAGCCCATCCTGATGGAAGAGTTGTGGAGGTTGGGAGGAACTGGAACAAAAGAGATAAGATAATTGGGGAAGGAAAGAGGGGCTTAGCCAACAGAGAGGAAAGATTTTGATGAGGTAAAACCAGGTTCTGGTAATGCTGAGGGTGCTGAAACACTGACTGTGCAAACACTCCTGATGGACCTTTATGCACTTTGTAATCCCAAGCCTCAATACTCCCCAAAAGTGCTGCCCCTCCCACTGAAAGGAATCCACTGCTCTAATTCGAAACCAGAAAAAGACCAAACCCAGAAGTCCAGACTCTTATTTGTACTCAATGCCCTACCCATTCCCAAACCAGCATTGTTCGTATGAAAACACAAGCTTTAATCCTAACCCAGACCACAAAGCTCTTCCCTTAATCATGAACCAGACCCTGCCAGCAGAACAACAAACCTCCAGATCCACTGAGCTCTAAAGCCCAAGCCCTGACCATGAAGCACCCCCACAGCCCTTGGGAGCAGGGCAAGGACCTGCAGGGCCCAGAGCAGCCCCAAGGGGTTGGCAGAGCAATGGGAGGTGACCTGGATCTGCTCAGCTCTGCAGGGACCCCCAGCAGAAGGGCCTGGGCTCTCTCAGGGATGTCCTGGGGCACAGGGGCTCAGCATCCAAGCCAAGAAGGCCAAGTGCACATGGCAGCAGCCAGAGCTGGGGGACAGCAGAGCCATCAGGGAGGGCCCAGAAATGCTGCTGGAGGGGGGTGGGAAAGCAGGAGGGGTGTGTGCAACCTGCAAGGCCAGAGGAGCAGCAGGGCCAGGGGAGCACAGCCTGCAGCAGAGATGGCCAAGGGCTCTGGCAGGGCTGCAAGGCCCAAAGGCACCCAGGCCTTTGTGCCCTTGGCTCTGGCAGCTGCCTCTGCCCCTCAGGCCACCGCAAGCAACTTTCCTTTGTCTGCCTGCACTCCTGGCCTGCAAGGATCTGCTCGAAGGAGTCCCTGGGGAGGCTTTGTCAGTGCCTGCCCTCAGTGGGGTCCAGCAATGCTTCAAGGGACTGGGAGTTTGGCTTCTGACACAGGGCTCTGCAGGACAGTGGACAAGGGCAGGAGGAGGAAGTCATGGAGGAGAAGGGCTGCTGCTCCCTGGCAGGGCTGCTCTGCTGAGACTCTTTTGTCACCCAGCTCTGCAGAGAGGCACTGACCCTGCAGCTCCAGAGCAGTCAGCGACGAAAGATGTCAGGGAAACCAGTCCATGCAGAGTCTTTTATTTCCTTTAAGCATACAATGAGTACAACTGCCATTTTGTACAGCCTCTGGGCAAGGCTAGAAAGGCAAACACTGAACTGACAATGTCATTTATATATAAAAACATATATATATTCATATATATAAAGATTTTTTAGTGTGAACCAATTCTCACAAAACTAAAACCCATAGTGGGAGAAAAAAATAGAGAAGATATGGGCCTTTAATGAAGTACATAACAGGATTGGCCTTTAGTGAGGTACATAAAATGCTAAACAAGGAGAGTTTATTGTTTCTGAAAAACAACCAGTTATCAGTTTCCTCACGCCATCCTTGAGCTCCTGGTTCCTCAGGCTGTAGATGAGGGGGTTCAATGTTGGAGGGACCACCGAGTACAGAACTGACAGGGCCAGATCCAGGGATGGGGAGGAGATGGAGGGGGGCTTCAGGTAAGCAAACATGACAGTGCTGATAAACAGGGAGACCTCAGCCAGGTGTGGGAGGCACGTGGAAAAGGCTTTGTGCCTTCCCTGATCAGAGGGAATCCTCAGCACCGCCATAAAGATCTGCACATAGGAGAAAACAATGAAAAGGAAACAACTGAACACTAAACAGACACTAACCACAAGAAGGCCAGTTTCCCTGAAGTAACCTGAGTGTGAGCAGGAGAGCTTGAGGATGTGTGGGATTTCACAGAAGAACTGGCCCAGGGCATTGCCCTGGCACAGGGGCAGGGAAAATGTATTGGCTGTGTGCAGCAGAGCATTGAGAAACCCAGAGGCCCAGGCAGCTGCTGCCATGTGGGCACAAGCTCTGCTGCCCAGGAGGGTCCCGTAGTGCAGGGGTTTGCAGATGGCAACGTAGCGGTCGTAGCACATGATGGTCAGGAGGAAAACTCTGTTCCAAAGAAGAAGACAAGCAGAAACATCTGTGCAGCACATCCTGTGTAGGAGATGGTTGTGGTGTCACAGAGGGAGTCGTGCATGGCTTTGGGCACAGTGGTGCAGACGCAGCCCAGGTCTGTGAGGGAGAGGTGCAGCAGGAAGAAGTCCCTGGGGGTGTGCAGGCGCTGAGGATGAGGCCGTTGCCCAGGAGGGCAGCCAGGGAGATGCCCAGGAAGAGCCAGAAGTGCAGCAGCTGCAGCTCCCGCCTGTCTGCAAAGGCCAGCAGGATGAACTGGGCCATGGAGCTGCTGTTGGGCATTTGTTGCCTCTGGATATGGGCATCTGTTAAAAGAGGAAAGGACAGTGACAAGTTAGGGCAGAACATTCTGAGAGAAATCAAAGCTGCATTCCAACACCCCTCTCACTGCTCCATTGGTTTTCCTTCTCTAGGAGTCTCTCCTTCAGTTTCATGACTGGAGCCC